ACACATGTCGAACTAAAACTATAATCCATGTAAGAATCTTGATATATATAACTTTTCCCATATTACTCTTTTCTTCGAAACGCAATTCGAGGGTTTTAAACACTTAACCAAACATTATCATCATCCGATAGGGTCTAAGCTTTATTCAATTGAAGTCCAATACCTTTACTCGATCCATCTATGACCCGCTATCCTAATAAAAGAAACATCCAAAACTACGTGTTACATGGTTTGAGTGAATCGGATGAACACTCATGTGATTCCTGACTTAAACTAAGGATTTGAATATCTTAACAAATCTTTTAATAAAAAGAACTTTATTCAAAAGAAAAGAATACGATGCGTAAAGTCAGCCAAAGCTCAGAAAGGAAAGTGATTCCCAAAACAACCATATTGTTATGATTTTTGATATGTGAAATGTTAGAAATGCATGATAGTATGTAGTCTAGGGATCTTTTTAAGAATTACCGCTTAGGATTTCCTGATAACTAAGATGCCTTAGAACTTAGAGATTTGCTTGTTATTTGTTGCTTAGAACCTATATTAATATTAATTAGTTATTTGACAAATATGTTGCGTTGCATGCTCCCAAAATTATATAGTTTTAGATTGCTTGATTTGGTGCTATTTCACAACACTCATATGAGTCTAACTGTTGTAGTGTCGAATCTTTCAGTTGACAGACTGTTTGATTTTAGGGGCATATAATTGTATTCACCCGATAATTAGTTAATATTAGTAGAAGTTCTTCCTTGGCTAATAGTAGGGTAAAATGGAATGGAATCATAAAAAGAGAGTCAAGGAAATTTAATATATGTTTGATAGGACATATATTTGTAAGGTAGGGCATTAGTAAAGATGTAAAGCCCCAGTGAAGTCTAGGAAAACCTGTTGTATGTGCTCATGAGACATATATATATATATATATATATATATATATATATATATATATATATATATATATATATATATATATATATATATATATATATATATTGTGACATCCCCAATTTCACGGCCAGGAAATACCAATTTGTTTATGCTTACTTAAAAATCAGAATATCTTTTTTTTGAAGAATAATATTATGGAATTTGTTCCCAAAAACATGATAATGATATTATCAAAACATTTCCGAAGAAATGTATTTTATTTATATTAAAACATTGGGATGTCATTGTCAATACATAAACATAAACATAACGAAATATTACAAGCCTTAAGGTAATTAAACTAGTGGCCTAATACTCCTTGAATCTCTCAGCAGAATGTATCTTTAATATCGCTACTTGTGATATAATAAACTGAGTGGGTCAGGTTGGGAAACCTGGTGAGTACATATGGATTTCAATCACACAATGTTTTAACCTATATATATATATATATATATATATATATATATATATATATATATATATATAGGTTAGAACTCACAAGATACAATTTCATATAAGCAATTTACCCCGACCCGTCGATCCTCACAACGACACGATGCATGCTTTCGGATCTAAACTGAACGGCTTTACCTAATCCATACTCCTAGATCAGGTATGAAGGATTATGTCTAATCCATGCTCGCGGATCAATGACAAATGAATATGCCCACTCCATACTCTCAGACTAGGGACGAATGACTATGTCTAATCCATGCTCTCGGATTATCGACAAATGACTATGCCCACTCCGAAATCTCGGTCTAGGACGAATGACTATGTCTAATCTATGCTCTCGGATTATCTACAAATAACTATGCCAATTTCATACTAGTGGACAAGGACGAAGGAATATGTCTAATCCATGCTCACGGATCAAAGACAAATTTTAGATTTCTACCCTCCGTGTATATCTCACCCGTACTCTTAAGGAGATACTACCTGATATTCATCTTAATTAATTTAGGTTTATTCTATAAGTCCTAAATCATCATATATTATCAGATATGTTCTTAACACGTATTTCAGGCAATATCAAATATCTCACACATAAACATATAGTTAATACTTTAATCAATGCTTGCATTAAAATCATGTTCATGAAAAAATCGGACAACGCTTCGCTTCTAGCAATTGTCTTTTCATTTGATGTAACCTAGTGTCATTATCACTAATTATTAGTCTAATATTTATTGCGACTAATTATTAGTCTAGATTTATCATTAATTGAAAGTCTACTTCAAGATCTATCAAAGTAAGGATCAGCCGCAGGACAGTTGGGAGGCAATATCATTTCGGCGTATAAAGTTTCTGAAATCCAACAACCAAGCCAACGTAACCATTCTAGACACCTCTCCTGTAAGTATATCAATCAGTATAACGACTTAGAATCACTAACAAATCTTGTTTATAGGTTCAAAATAATGATAATGAACTTAAACATAAGTTATACTTAAAGTACGGTAAGCATAACCTAAATTACAGATGGTTTATCAAGAAACCGGAATTTGCACAGGCAGAACTTTTAAGACGGAAGCTCTACTTCTTGGAGCTTTCTGACGCTCCAGAGCTTCACTACTAACACCTAGGAAGTGCTAGAGAAAGGTCTTGGGACCTTGGGAGGGTTTTGGAAGAGTTTGGATGGAAATGTATGAAGAAAGGAGTGAAATCCGACTTCTATTTATAGGCTCCCAACAGCCCAGTATGTTGGGCATACTCTAATTACGCTGGGAGTAATGGGTGCCACGTGTCAGCATCAGATCGCAAGCCTTGGGGAGGAAGGTGTGGTGCCAGATCGCGACACGTCTCGCCCTCTTGTTAATCCGAAAATTAATTATCTTGTAAAATCCATAACTTTTGCATATGAGGTTCGTTTTTGACGTTCTTTATATCCTTACGTAGCTACCGACGAGATCTACAACTTTCGTTTGGGCTATGTCAGCTAATTTTCAATTTATTTTTAAAGTTATATTTTAACAGTCTTAGACAGTTAAAGTCCGTTAAAAATTTATAACTTTGTCATCCAACGTCCACTTTTGACCGTCTTTATATCATTGATCTCCTATTAACGAGATCTTTAATTCTCGTTTAGATTGTGTCGGCTAATAATTGATCAATCTAAAATTCGATTTTCGAGCTGTACACTACTACACTGAATCTTAGAAAAATCATAATTTCCTCAAATGAAGTCAGATTTGGACGTTCACTATATGCACACTCTCGGTTTAACGACTACTACGACTTTTGTTTAGATTACTAAGGGTAAAAAGTAATTTATCAAAAATTTACTTTTTACGTTACGCAGAGTCGTGCCTGTTTAAATCGCGAAACTTCAACGGGTCATAACTTCTTCGTTATAAGTCGGATTTCAGCGTTTTTTATATGTACGGAATCCTTGTGACATACTATAAATTTGGTTAAGATTATTTATCCTAAATAATCTTCTATCAAAAAATCATTTTTAACATTTGTTATTTCTAAATTGATTAGCCCGAATCTGCGGGCGTTATATATATATATATATATATATATATATATATATATATATATATATATATATATATATATATATATATATACTAGTCGTTTACCCGCGTCAAGCATCGGGTGCTAAGGTGGCGGTTATGATGCTCGATGGTGACTAGTGGTTATTGCTGACTCTTTTCAATGGGTTTGTTTTTTGATGAAGACTTTTTTTTTGATGATGGCAGGTATACAGTAGTGCAAAAGAGGGTGCAACTATTTAGTCAGAATTAAAAGTTTGTTCAAATATTTGTATATTCTAAGAAAATAAATATACGAAACTTTAAAATTTTGGAATTTTTTAATGTAATATTTGAAATTTTGTAACCTCGTGGATATTAGGTTGTATTTATGTTCATTGTTTTAGAAAACAAATAATTTATTCAAAATTATAAAAATAATTTGCTTTATTTATGTATTTTTACAGAAATATTTATATTATTTAGTTATTTTCTTAAATTTTTATTTTAAATGATATATCACTAAAGATCTAAATATTGGGTTCTATTTATGCTCAATGTTTTAAAAAACAAATAATTTATTCAAAGTTATGAAAGTAATTTGCTTTATTTATGTATATTTAAGAAATATTTATATTATTTAGTTATTTTCTTAAATTTTTTTAAAAGATGTATATTTAAGAAATATTTATATTATTTAGTTGTTTTCTTAAATTTTTTTAAAAGATATATCACTAAAGATCCCAATAATCATCCTAAAAAATACGGTTAATGTCTTATAGTCACATAACAGGTTAATGGCTTACGATCACTATATCAATAGTTGTTAATTTTCTTGCATCCAAAAAAAATAAAATTATATTAAAGAATGTCTAAATTGGGAAAATTTAGAAAAATAAAATTAACAAATCACATTTCAAATGGACTTTAGCTCAATATAATCAAAATATCATATCAATGCTTGGCAAACTCTTCTTCACCTAGTCGTAGCTTGAAAAACAATTGATCACATTCATCAAAATCGAAACCCATTTTCCCACATTCTTTATCCTCTCACTTCTATTAAAAAACCAACAAACAGAAAAATAAACATGCTCAATGTATTAGATGGTTGTCAGAAACTTAATATAGGCGAATTGGGGTTAAGAATTCAAAGTGTAAATGGTTATTATGAGTTTTTATTTGTGGTTAATAATTGAAGAAACTCTTTTAAATGCTTTTTATAAAAAAATTATAAAATTTTGTTGGTCTTTATATTACTTTATTAAATTTGGCTATTTGCTATCAACCAGTTTGTGACCATTTTTTAATAAAACTTATGATCAGTACTTACATTGCTAAATAAGTTATTAAAATTGTCGAGAAGAGCCACAAAATATGACTTGCTAAAATATTTATGAAAATTAAACCAAATCCATATTAAATAAACAATAAAAGGTTTAATATGATCGACTAAAAACATTACTAAATACAATACTCCAAAATGATAGATGTTGCTCTCTTATTTCCCCAACACAACAATCATCACCACAAGCTGCAAAACTATAAATTAAAAATCAACAGTCTATACTTAAATGTAATAAATATCAACCCAATAAATATTTGAACATCGTATACGAAGGCAAGGGCAAAATTGTCCATATTTCAGCAAACCCATCAAAAGACAATAACATCAACATAAAGGGCAAAATCGTCCAAACAATTTCCTTGCATCTTCCCAAGTGTATCGTATATTTTTAAAACATCATTTTTCCAAACATTACTAAATGCAAAAACATACCAATACATCACACTGATTGGCCAACATACTTTAAAAAACTGAGCATCGTATATGATTTAAAATCTCACTATAAAGATTCAAATATAAGTAAGCAATTCCACTACAAAACACAAAGATCCATTTGGCAAATTGTCAGTATTATTTAAAAAAAATGTAAAGCATTAAATAAAAAACATACTTGTGTCATCATTTGTTTAGAAAAGTAGTAAACAAACATCTCCGTACCGATTCGTGAATGAAGATGTAGTCTTATCATTGGCTCGGTAGACATAGACATGTTAGAAATGCTAGGCCTGTTAGAAAAGAACAACAATAAGGAAACTGAAAGTCTTATGAATGAAAATTGGGGAAATTTTTTGTCATTTGGAAGTAAATATGGTGATTTGTGTATCCATATCGGAAGGAATAAAACAGAAAATAAAGAAATTATTGATGGTCACAATTGAACGAAGATGATGAATCGCTATTTTCAGACTTGTTTTTTTAAATCATCATCCTACTTTACAACAACAAAAACATAAATTGATCAAAATTTGTTGAAACCTAAATTAGATTCAACATTAAACACATTAAATTTACAAAATTTAAACATTATACCCTCGATATTCTGAAGGATTTGCTTAACTTTTCACATGTTGCTGGATCTATTTTGATGGTGTAACCCCCTGTTCACCAAAGTAAAACTACACAAAAAAAACATCATTTAATCAAATTTTGATAAAACCCAATAAGATTCAACATAGAAAACATTAAATTTACAGAATTTAAACATAATACCCTATATTTTCTGAAGACATAACAAAATCAATAAAAATACTTATTTATAATCTCGATAATGAAGATCCATTCAGCATACACCATTCAGTGCAACCAAATTATTGATCATTCTGTTATAAAAAAGTGTTCCCAAATACGGAGATTAAGGGGGTGCCTTGGTGAATCCAAGTAAACTGAGCACTCCAAGAAGAAAGGCAAAACAGAAAGCTAAAGTGAAATTTTTTTGACTCACCTGCAAGACCTTACACACGGTGGTGGTGTACGGAGAGTAACGTTAGCTTTGGATAGGAGGCATCGACCAATTCCATCTGAAGCCCAATGGTTAAGCTACATTCTATAAACATGATGTATTTTAAATTACAAATATATGACAATGGAATACAATGATCAAACAGAAAAACCAAGCCATTTACAGAGAATGAAAGAGAGGTGGGTGGTGCTTTGGTGGTGGCGAGCATCCACAGCAGGTGGTGCGCTAGTTATGGCGACCATCGATGGTGGTGAGAAGTGGTGGGTCAAGGATTAGTTTGAGAGAAGAAGGTAAGCGGAAACATTGAGTAGTGGTCGGTGGTTGTTTTGGGTAGATGAGAGAGTGTGATCTTGGCTTCACCTATTGAATCAAAGAAACGGGGATGAAAAAGACTACAAGGGTAGATTTGTGTATTCGAGAGGGAGGGAGGGGCAGAACAGGCGGTTAAAAGAGAAGGAGATAGTGGTGGTAGTGGTAGTTGCGTAAGCTGATGAAGAAATGGTTTAATGCTCGAGGCAGAGATGGTGATGGAAAAGGATGAAGGGCAGCAAATTAGATTGTTTGTTTCTAGAGGTGCTGTTGGATTTTTATGGGTAGGGTTACTTCGATTAAGATGAGATAATGGTGGATAAGCCGTGAACACGGGAAGTTTGTTATATAAAACCCAATCCCTCTTTTTACGTATTAAATTTTTGTATAATTTAATGGGCCAATACTGGGTCAATTTTGTTAACTTTGACTGAATCAACTACTCAGGCAGAGATATTTGTAGGTTGTGTTTAAAGTTTAAATCATCTGGGTAAGATAAGGATGTAGGTTTGAATGTTTCAATATTAATTTTACATTTGTATTTAATGCATTGTATTTTATAATTTGTTGATAAATGTTTGTACATTCAGCTTAAAGGTTTGGACGTCTTAAATCTATTTTTAGAAATAGTAAGACTTGTATAATAAGATAGTATATATATATATATATATATATATATATATATATATATATATATATATATATATATATATATATATATATATATGTGTGTGTGTGTGTGTGTGTGTGACAGTCATTGTGTGTAGTATTGGAAGTGACTTGGAAACTACGAGACAATTTTGGGACAAGTATGGGTAGGTGTGAAAGGTAGTAGAGGTCTATACTACCCAAAACACAGGACTCGCACTTGCATCAGGAAGAGTCACAAAGTTGCTAAGGCACTAGTAATTAGGTAGATAGTGTGGCTAACACTATAAATTCGTTTTGCATTATTTATGTCATTACCTGTTATACAATGATTTCTAGAAGAGTGACTCTAGGTGGGCCCAAGTGACCATAAAAGATCGAGTGTGAACAAAGTAGAATTACATAAGCACGTTGGTTCTAAGAAACTCGATCAATGTAGTACCGACTTTAGTTGTAAGAGTGAAGAGGGACAATTGGAACGCAATAAGTGATCGTCCCAAAGAAACAAGAAGGATGAAGTGAATTCAACAACCGTCGTTTTTGCTATTATTTTGACTACCTTAGTGATACCCTCATATTCCATTTAGACATGCGTATGCTTTAGTCCGTTTTTAGACAACATTGTGCTTGTCACGATGTTATCTTGTTTTGGTTGGGCTATGCAAAGAGATCACTTTGGTAGAAATGAGCAGTAGTAGAATGATAAGAATATCGAAGGTCATTGAATATCACAACCATGAGTTTCGTCAAAGTCAAAAGGAGCTACAAATCACGTAGGTAAGGCCAACTTAGATTTCGGCTAAGTTACGAGCAACAACAGATGATGGGTCGTACCCAAGTGGGGGAGAACCGACCCTTAAAGAGAAAGTAAGAAGGTCTATTAAACTTTCAATTTCGACATCAAGGTACAGGAGAGTAGCAACACGAGTAGTCGGAAGTGTTAGTTTCATTTTCATTAAGCGGATAACAGAAGGAGGAAGTCTTCTTTTAAGATTACCCATAGGTTATGAACTTCTTGCTTCTCGAGGAAAGGTTAGTCTTTCATTCCAAACGTCTGATAGGATTTAGGGAATTTCCAAATTCTCAGGTACGGCTTAGATAGCCAAGAAAAACATATAGGTTCTGCCTTCGAGGATGTAAGATTTATTTTCTCAGCAGAGGATCAAGAATTCAACAGGTAGTATAGCTTGCCATAGAGAGCGTCAAGTACTCAAGGGATATACCAGACTTAAGGATTTGATTTCAACCATAGTAAGAATTTAGTTAACCCATACCAAAGGATTATTGTAGTAGGATCAATATCAAATGAAAGAGTGTTTTCATAAGTACGATTAGAGACCCATAGGAGAAGACCAATCATACAGGACAATACCCATGGAAATACTTCAATGCTATATTAGGCTTCAGGGTAGACTATGTGTTTAGTTTAGTTATTCCTTTTAGTCAATAAGCATAAGAATTAATAGAAAATTAGGATTGGGTTTCGACGTTCATAAGTTGACATAAAACAACGGTTAGATTTTAGCACCCGTACAGTGTAGATTTGTAACGTCCCAAAAAGTAGAGTTAAAATTTTCATTTTTATTTAATCAAAAGATCATCAACCAAACATTTCACGTAAAACCATAGTGAAATCAGAGTATGTCAATAATCATCCAAATACATCAAGTCAACAAGAAAATGCGGAACAACATAGTGTATGCGATGCGATCACCCCGAACTCTTCCCCTTCGAACCAGAAATACCTGAAACATAAACTAAAAACCGTAGCAAGGAGCTTAGTGAGTTCCTCAAAGCACCTCATACCATACATATCAACATACGATGGGCCATGCCCGAGGACATTGATCCCCGCTCGGAACAGATCTGTCAGTAACATGAGATGGGCCCCGCCCTATCACATTCATCAGGCCCCGCCCTGTCATTCATACAGACACAAATAATACATGCAAGAATCACTAAGATAAATAGCATACAATATACACTCATCAGGCCCTGCCTGACATCGGACCTCGACCGTAATACATATCACATACCACACATGCAAGAGTCACACAGACAACTAGCATCCTAATCATAATAAATCATGGGTCGGCATTGGTGCCTTCGACCCGCTAAGCACGGGGATGAGACTCACCTCAAACTGCTGAAAAATCAGGTAAATGCTCGGACTGCTGATCCGGGAAATCTCCTCACTAAATATCATCAAACAATACCCTAATTAATAATTAGGTCAAAATTCATAATCGGGGTCCTCGACCCAACACCCTCAACTTCTAGGGTAAAAGACTATTCTCCTTTTCCCTATTGGGCCCAACTAGCTTGGCCCAAAAAACCCTATAGTGGTCCCGCCCATAACCTAAGGTCCAACTATGGCCCACTAGATACAAAGCCCAAAATCCAGCTAATGCCCAAAGTCCAAAGGGAGTCCAAGTCCAAAGGAAGCCCAAAACAAAAGAAGCACATTCACAACATACGCCCTGCAAATTATAGAATTCGGGGACCAATTTAGTGAACTTAGCACCCAATTACTAGAATACATGGGGGATTTGAGCCATTGTGATTCATTTGCTAAATTTGACAAAACAAAGTTGTTAAAGTAGAGTGAGTTGTACAAAAAAGATTTTGATGATGCGGAGAGGATGCAACTTAATGGTGAACTTGAGATATATTATCATGTTTTGCATAAAGATGATCGATTCATTAGTTTGCAAGGAATTTCCGACCTTTTTCGTTTGATGGTGGAAACGGGGAAACATCAGTCTTATCCTATGGTTTATAGTTTGTTGAAGTTGGTTTTGATTTATTCGTCGCGACTGCAACAGTCGAAAGATGTTTTTCTGCGATAAAGTTTTTAAAGACGGACTTGCGTAATAAAATAGGTGATGATTTTTTGAACGATGTCATGATTTTTTATGTTGAAAAATTATGAAACTAAAGATCGAAGATGTAATGGATCGGTTTCAAAAAATATGTACCCATAGATATCAAATTTAAATATACTAATACTTTAAAAAATCATGTTGTTACATTTGGTCGGAATTTTTTTTAGATGCCGCCATTCTTCAAACTTTCCACCTCCACATCGACCGAATTTTTTTTGGATGCCACCATTCTTCAAACTTTCTACCTCCACATCCACAATGCTCGAGAATTCATAGTGTGAGGGAAATTCATGATGTAAAAATTAGTATCTATTTTCTTCAGATCCTTTCCATTAGGATTACCGCGATCTTGGAAATCTCACCCCTATACCAACCATTGCATCCATCGTTAGGCTGTGGGGAGTGGTCACACTCAACCCACCGAAAAAGCGCTGCCACTTCTGCACCACGTCAGCTTCACCACCAACCCACCATCAACCCACTAAACATTGGAAATGGTTACCACTCCATAAATTTTTTTTTTATTTTTTTTATATTTTTAACATTATATTAAATAAAAAACATAATTTATAACATAAATTAATTTTTTGAAAACATAAAAAAATAAAACCACATTTCATTAATTAAAAACATAAAAATTTAAAATTTAAATTACTAAAATTAAACATTACATTGTCTAAATAAAATAAAAATATAAAAACATAAAAAAAACATCAAAAAATTCTAATCGTCGTCGTTGTCGTCACTGGCATCATCCGCCTCGTCGTTATCGTCCTCATCCTCGTCGTCGTCACCGTCCTCATCCCCCTCGTCTCACCGTCATTTTGCCCTTGAAATTGTCTTTCCCATATGTATTCGGTCAAATCATGTCGTAGATTGTGATGTGTTTCATGATTTTGTATTTCAAAACCCTTGAGAAGTATGCCGGGCTGCCAACTTGTATTACTGCAAGTGGATTAAGTATATCGTTTGTGGTATATGAACAAACAACCCTACCCTCTTCTTCTATTATCATGTTATGTAAAATAACACAACCAGTCAACACCGTCGTCAATTTTTCCCTGTCCCATGTTCGTGCTGGATGTTTGATTATGTGCCACTTTTGTTTGAAGACTCCAAACGCCCGTTCTACATCCTTCCTTGCAGATTCTTGTGCTAACTTGAACATTTTTCTTTAATCGTCGTCGGGAATGTGTATGACTTGACAAATGTAGCGTATTTAGGATATATCTCATCACCTAGGTAATAGCCCTATTTATATTCATTTCCATTGACAACATATGATATTTCTGGTGCTTTACCCTGTAAAATATCGTTAAATATCGGAGACGCTTAGAGCACATTCATGTCATTGTTTGACCCCGCCATACCAAAGAATGCATGCCAAAACCATAGGTCATTTGAAACAACCGCCTCCAAAATAACAGTCGGCACCCTATGATCACCTCGCGTGAACTGACCACGCCATGCGTTGGGACAATTTGCCCACTCCCAATGTATACAATCAATGCTACCAAGCATCCCTGGAAAACCATGTCTAGCTTGATGCGTGACATACAACTGTTCGACATCGCTTTTAGTCGGATGTCGCAAGTATATGTCACGGTAAAGCTCTACAACATACTCACAAAATAGATATGTACACTCTCGACAGGTCCTTTCAGACATTTTCAAATACTCATCTAATGCGTCTGCGGCGATGTCGTATGCCAATTGTCTAAGAGCGGCCGTACATTTTTGTATCGTAGTAAAACCGCGTTTACCTCTAGCATCCCATCGTAATTGGAAAAATTCATAATTACGTGCCAAATCTCTAGCTATACGTAAAAATAAATTTCTACTAATACGAAAACGTTCTTCGAATTTCGATAGATCATATAAACAATCAACGGCAAAATAATCACGTACCAAACGTTCATGTGCCGCCTCTCGATCTCGGTTGATCCATTTTCTATGCTTCTTCTCGACGTTTGAACTTTCGCCTCTCTCACGTAACATGTCTCGTGCCGCAGACAATAGCGTATACAAAAATCAAATCCTCATCAGAATCATTATCATCGAATGACGAAGAAATCGAAGGTGGAAAATTATCCATTTTTTGGTTGAATGTGTGTTTTTGTTTTGAAGTATATATGGATGTGTTTGTGGAAATTATGTGTAAAATGAATGTATATATAGAGAGAATTTGAAAAAATAATAAATAGATTTTTTTATTTATTTATCAAACGGTAACAACAACGGTCAAAAATGAATTGACCAATCACCGAGTCCGTCTTCTTCCGTCTTCCGCCGCACGTCATACGCACCCCACCGGAATATGGGGTGGTGTTCACGCGTCTTGGGTTGTGCCACATCAGCCTTCACACGTCTTCTTCTTCCACGTACCGGACAGCCTTACCTTCATCTTTCTTGCCCTTCCCCGTTTCTCTAAGTCGATTCGCATCAGCACAACCTTTCTAATTGAATCCCGATGACATATTTACCCCTTTAGTTTCATACATAAAGCCTAAAGAACTACGCCCAAAGTTAGGAGGCTCTCATATTATCGCAGAAGGAGAATCATAATCAAATACCAATCAAACCCTTTGAAGCTCACCCCACACCGCCACTATTGGATTCTGGCGCCGCCAATAGGAGTCAACGGTGCTTACATCAACAACAAGCATATACCATTTTTCCATGATACTTGGGACATTAGGAATTGGGTGTGTTCTTTGAATGGATTCTTTTCTTCTACTCCATCGAGCAAATCTCATCTTGTGAAGGTGCTTTAAGAAACATTTAATCACAAGAAGATGCTAAGTTTGAAGTCGGCGATCACTTATAAAAACTTATGGTTTTTTGGAAGGCAATAAATTATTTTGTTTTTAAAGGAGAAAATAGCTCTCATTTGAAGATTGTGGATGAAATTAACCTGTTTGCGTTCGATTGGATAAAACATAAAAGTAAGCGGTCTTTCTCTTTGAATTGGTACACATCGACATTGTTCTCCCTAAATGGCTTGTGTAGCATGTTGCTAGCTTTTGATTTTAGTACATTTATTGCTGTTCTAAAAAAAAAAAAGAAAAAAAAGATCAAGTTCCGTGTATTTGGAGTTTTGATTTTCAACTAATAAAAATATTTCAAAATTAAATTAGGATGTCTATATTGTAAAATTAAGTGTCTTTTTAGACAACCTTTTTTTAATTTGGTCTATAAGTTGGTTAAGAAAGAAACAAAGAAGATGATAGCATAATCATTTTTATATACCTAATGACTAAACTGTTAAGTTATACGATTCCAAAAATAAATAAAAAATATAATCATTTCCATTTTAGACACAAAACCCCCCATAAAATTGAAGATATAGAAGCGTCTAAAGTAACGTAAACAACTATAAAATATAAAAATAAATTGGGATATATAATTTTTTTTTATATATCTAATGTTCTAGGCTTGATCATCGAAAAAGTACGAATTTTGTAATCAACTACTTAAAGTTTATGTTTTTTAAGCTTTTAACATACACAAATATAAGTTATAGCCTTATATGTAACTTATCATTTACGATAATTTGACAAAACTTTAATATAAATAAATGCAACCGCAAAATCTCTTTAATCGTTACGTAGATGAGACGCTTTGTCTAAAATTCTATGCACATATCCGTGACTTCCGCTCCATCTTACCTCAAAAAATCAACATTCATTTCACATCTAAATAATAAAAACAAAAACTTAATGTACGAATGAATAAATTTTAAGAAAAAAATTATAAAAATATCCGCAACCTCATTGGTTAAATTGCATAACCTTCGGTGCAAGTCTTAGCAACCTGTCCAAAGCATGTGGTGTAAACTTCCTCGCAAACAAATGACACGCTTGGTTACTTCTCCCATTGTACTCACAACTCATGTCACCTCTCAGTTTCTCCAAAAACTCTTTTGTCACGTCATACCTCAAATAACGTGTCGGATGCGGGCCACCCTTTGACCAATCGACAAAAGTCAAAGTCCTATTCGCATTCTGTCCCCCAAATTTCCGTGTAACAAATGTAGGCAAGTAATGCTCGTCTGCATAACACGAGCCATTACAATAATCTTGGAATACTGGAAAATATATCGTATCTGATATCACCTCAATTGCTAGGTCACGATTCATTTCAAACCACTGTGACCCTTTTCGCCATTCGGTGATTTTTACAGTTGGGTACATTTTTGAACTATAGCGGCCTCGACCCACGGGTCCTGGTAAGTCGTAGGACTCTACAAAATTATGATTGGAGTTGATCAGGTAAGAATATATTGTTGAAAAGTTGAATAGGGGAATGCAGGTTTCTGACAGTAGAACAAATCGTTGGTTTGAGAAATCAAGGAGGGCGTTTGCTAACAGGCGACGCTCGGCTTCGATCATGCTTACTTTTCCCCATTCAAAATCCTATAATCATTATAACAAAAAAAAAATTATTTTTATAATTGATGGGAATGTTATATTTATAAATTAAATATTAAAAACAGTTAGCTATTGTTTTCTTTGATTTTTATGGCATTAAAGTTTTCTATATTATTAATTGGATTGTTTGAATCGTAATCATTTTGTAAAAATTAATGTTTAGCTAAAAATTACTAATGATTGACATTTAATAATATAAAAATGGGAAGTCATCAAAGATTCATGCTTGAAATTTCTAAACGGGAAAAGACATGTTTAAGAAATTCAAAGCAAAATGTACAAGTTTGATGCATGTTAGTACAACACATAAAGCAGAAAGATTTTCAAGGAGGGGTAGAAAGGTAAATTTTACGTAAAGAAAATTTCTTACCTTGCTTGGAATTCTCCGACCATGGAAAACGGAGTGTACTTCTGGTTCTGTCCAATTGGAAGGTGAACCGGAGGTATGCACATAGATGTTGAAAAGACCATTATACCCTTTGAAGAACATCTCCCACAACGGCGACAACAACACCGATCCTCTCGTCAGAAACATGAACGCGACCTTCGGTGTTCTATCGAATGGATACTCCGCCACTTTTGGCACCATCGACGCTCTCCAGATCAACTCTCGGTCGCTCAGATCATGCATTACTTCTGTCGGATGTATGTAATTCTCCAATCTGATCTTCGGAGGCGGAGGCGGAGGCGATGAAAACACGTCGTGGTTGTCTATTTCGGTGTCGGTGGAGAGAGAGAATTGTGTGAATTGAAGATTGAATGAGACGTTTTTGAGATGGAAAGTGAGAATCATGCCGAAACATAAACCGAATCCGAAGAAAAGTATTACAGAGATGAGATTTACTAGTTGAAAGCGAGCATTGAAGGTCTTAGAGTGTGAGACGAATGAGATTTGATTGTTCTTCATTGAAATTGGATTTCTGCGATACTTTTGATCTTCTGGCAAAAAGTGATGTGATTGGAAAAGAGAAGAAGAAAAAACAATCTGTTATGGAAGCGTGAGAGATGGAACACACACATACATTCTACTCGGTTTCCCTGCAGAATATATACAATGATTAAGAGAGATGGAACACACACATACATTCTACTCGGTTTCCCTGCAGAATATATACAATGATTAAGGTGGTGTTTGTTTTTTTGTCTATGACCTCTTCTGTCTGCACCGCGCAGACCACGCGCAGACATTAGCCTTCGCAGACTGTTTGTTTTTTTGAAGACTGCAAACCTAAAAATGTTTGTGCGCCCTCTTCTTGGCGCAGATGTGGACCAGAGTCTTCTAATATCTTCAGACATCTTCTAGCCTAAAAAAACACATATATCTATATTTTTTTTAATTTATATTTTTTCCAACTTTATTAATGATAAAAATTTGAAAAAAAAAATTACAAAACTTAAAAAAATACTTTCGACGATACAAAAATGATATTTTTGACAAATTTATAAATAAGGATTTATTACAATAATAGTCGTTGAAGTTGTTTATATAAATACGAAAAAAAAAATTATAATATATTCTTATATTTTTTTGTTAAATTTTGTAAAACATTATTTAATACACTATCGTCAATTTCTCGAGAAAATATTTATGCTACGTTTTTAATGGATTTAATTGAAAAAATCGAAGTTTATTTCCATCTATTTATGTATCAATTTCTTTGATCCTTAATTATAATGTTTAGTTATAACTTTGCAACCAAAGTTGTTGGTTTTTATCATATATATACGTTAATTCATATCATTTTTATTTTTATTTTTTATATACAATAATACATAAAAGTTGATATAGATTTGTTAATTATTTATAACAAAGTCATAAAAATATTAAAAAAACACTTTGAAGTTTAAAAAAACCAGTTTATTTAGATTTCATTTTATTTTAGTAGCCCGCAGATGTTAAAAAAACAAACAGTCTTCTTTTTTCAGACTGCAGACGTTTGGTCCACATCTTCTACTGCAGAGGTCTACAGATGTGGTCCGCAGACTACAGACATTTTGCCTCAGAAAAAACAAACAGCACCTAAATCTTTCAAGTTGTTTTTTATTTTATTTTTTTTCCTAAATTAAGCATTCATATAATTATATTAATTAATGCGATGCGATTAATATTTTACAAAAATAACGTAATCTATTTTTGTATAGAACCGCCAATGAGGTTCAAGAATAACCACGTGTCATGTTATAACAGGTAATTCAAACATGGTAGAACAATTTAGTTGATTTTTTTTAAACAGTGTTAGGTAAACTTATTCTTTGGATATATTGTTAACCTACTTAAAAGTTAAAACACAATTATTTTGATTGAAAATCTTTGTTATAATACTTTATATTGATGAGATATATGATATATCAAATTAGCCACTAAAGATTCAATCACATTAAATACTTTGAAGTCTCGATTTTTGTTAGATTTACTTCTCCTTAAACTACTAGATGATGTTATCACACTAAAAAGATATGTATGAGACGGTTTGGTTCAGTTATTACTCAAAACCAAATCATAATCATTACAATTGGTTAATTTATTTAACGGTTAATATTGATTTTGATTAACGGTTAATATTGATTTTGATTAACAATTTTAATAAGATAATGATTAATATCGGTTAATCATACTGATCAAAAATGACAAAAAATAAATAAATACTTTTCTATAATAATAGAAAAACATTAAGCCCATTACTATAAAAAAAATGAATGATTGTGAATATATAATTGTATCGATAGAAAATTACTTATCCTATATAATTTCAAATAATTGTCCATTAAAATTTTAATTCCTAATATAATTACATACAATATATTTAATATTATATTATATTAAAAAACATTTATTAATATTATTGGTTCGGTTCGGTTTATAGTGGTTCGGTTTTAGATCAAAACCATAACCAAACCATATGTATTTCGTTGATCAAAATTAGAAACTGAACCACATCTTTTAGTAATGATACGTTTAAATGGTCCAGTTATATCGGTTAATTTGGTTTTGATTTAATTTTGTTAATATGCTCACCTCACATGTTATGTCACCCATTGTGTTATAACATCAATTGAGGAAATTGTCACTATGGTATAACATGTTATAACACCCCACTAATTTCTATGTCATCATTTATTTTTTTTATTTTTTATTTTTTTTTTAACTTTTTTAATAATTAAAAAACAAATATAAATTAATAACACACGCTATTTAAATGTATCCTAAAATAAACATAACATTTAAAAACTAAAACTAACATTACAAGAAAAAAAATATGATAGTCCTAATTTAAAAACATAAAACGAAAGTCGTAGTTCAAATAATTCTTGCGGATCTTCTCCTTCATCGCATAAAGCATTCCCAAATCTCGGGGCAACAAATCTTTCTCGCTAGTTCGAAGAATTGCCAAATCCTTCGTCGTTTCTGCTAGACTACAAAGGAATTCCAAAAGTGCTAAAGTTGTACTTCAGCTCTTTCTTTTGCTATTAAATTGTGTGTGTCGAATTTCTTTTTCATTTTCGCCAACTCTTGTGTCCTTCTTTCAACTTCATCCGTGTGTCGTTGAGCACGCTTCGCTTTGTCGCGTCCACCCGGTCGTCTCGGGGGGGGGGGGGGGGGTGTATCTCTTCAATGTCGTCTGGGATCTCATCGATGTCGGTGTTAAGGTCTATGGTTGTCTGTACGTCAGAAATGTCTGACAAAAACAATTGTGACGCCTCTTATATTATACTTCCGGCAATGTTAGAGTTTTAATCTATTTTGGATCTTTCCTCACCATCTCCCATACTTTTTCATACTCGAAAACATGACTCATTTGACAAAATATTGCTCTTTGGCGGCTCTAAACAAATCGAAATCGTTGGCACCACTTTGCTTTTACAAAACAAGTTTGTTATAGATCCTATTGAATTTGGTGCACCTACGATTGATTGGAATCCACTTGGTACTAAACATATCAGTATTATGATATGAAGGTATCTTCATAAGTGTGTGGAATCTTGTGAGCACGGTTTCCCAAAAAGCAACTTTCCTCATATCATTTCCTTGGCGTTCATTTTTTGAAGTCTCGCACCACGCGACCGCCAAAGTGTACTTCTCTTCTAGTGGTTACCATAGTGGAGGTTCTTCACTTTCCATTTCCATCTCCCTCTCCTATTACCTCCCCGTTGCGTTTCGGCAACAATATCTTATGATGGTTGTGTGGGTGGTTGTTTGTAGTATGGAAGAAAAAATATTGAAAAAGTTTTGTGTAGGTTTGGGTTTTGTTGCATGTACCGTGATGTAGGAAATTACATTGGGGTGAAGTGTGATTAAAAAAGTTTCTTAGAAATGGTAGTTATGGTGAGTTTTGAGTATTAAGTAGGTTCATGTAGCTCTCATATTGAATATTCTGATCGAAACATTTGTGACACTGAGTTTTTTAGTATAGCTCGTCAATGCAATGGGTTGATCACTTTTGCACCAATTAAGATAGAACATGTAAAAGTTTGAAATTTTCGAAAAACTCATTTGGATGATCTCATCATAAATATTAGTTACTGTTTCATTAAGTAGTACCGTATAAGTATTTAATTCATGGGATTGAATTTTGTAATGCTTTTAAAGTAGAAAATTGGAGATCGCATGTGAAGATTTAAACATTTCTACCAATCAAGCTTTGATGGTGGATTGTACAATATAGTTCAGGATGCACTAATAACTTATTCATAGAAATGTTCAAATCTTTGCATGTCATCTTCATTTTGTACTTAAATAGCAGAAAAAAATCTCAATCTTATGAATTAATTACTTATATGGTACAACTCAATGAAGCATTAAGTTTTGATGGCAGTAGGGGTGAGCAAAAACCGAACCGCAACCGAGAATATCAAAAAAACCGCATAAACCGAAACCGAAAAACCAAAACCGAAATCAAAACCGACGGTGTGGTTTTTAGTTTTGCAAAAACCGAAAAAAAACCGAACCGCACCGAATATATATATATATATATATATATATATATATATATATTATATATATATATATATATATATATATATATATATATTAAGTGGTGATATTTGTAAGAACGAAGAACCATGACAATTAAAATTTTTATAAATATATAAACCTATCTCATCTCTACATAAAGTTTCTCAAAAAATGATTAACACTTCTCATCCGAGTCAAAGTAACTCGTTGAGTTACCTGAGTTTTAGTAAAAAGGCAAAACAAAAACCAAATAAAAAAATTGACAAAAAACCGCAAAGAAAATACCGAACCGCAAAAAACCAAAAAAAAACCGCATAAAAACATAACGGTGCGGTTTCTAAATTTCAAAAAACCGAAGTTGCGGTTTTCGGTTCGGTTTTGGCCAAAAACCGCACCAAACCGCACTATGCTCACCCCTGGATGGCACCACCGAAATGTGTTTTCCATAAATAGATAAACTTCAAACTTTTTATATGTTCCATCTTGTTTGGTGCAATAGTGATTGAACCATTAGATTAACGTGTTGTATTAAAAAACTCAATGTCACAAATGTTACGATCATACCATTCTTTAAAAAAAGTCATATTTGATATTCATTGGTGTGGAGAGAGAGAGAGGGGGAGAGAGAGAGAGAGAGAGAGAGTGTAACAATTTTGTAACTTGAGTGGTCAATTATATCATTAATCCTAAATGTAAGTTATAAACCTGTTATAGTCGGATACAAAGGACAAACCAAATAAAATAAGTTATCATGATCATATCTTTAAGGGAGATAATTTGTACACAACAAATTTTCTCCATACACAATAATTGGTGCTTTAAAATGTTGTATTATACAACTCTATAATGCATAAATTGTTGTGTATGGCAAAAAACTGTTGTGTACGAATCAGTTACATATCTTTAACGGCTAAGCCAAACTTGAAACTTTCATGATCATTTATATATTGCTATTATATATGTGTTTGAATACTTATATGTATATAAGGTGGTTACCATAGTGTCAATCAACGATTTAATTCTTTGACGAAAACAAACTAAATATGATTTAACTAAAATCAAAATAATCATATTTGGAAAAAAGAATATTTGCTTTAAAAATCGACCGAGTTCATC